GCTTTCTGTCTCTATGTCTCTGTCTGTCTGGCGAGCGCACGCGCCCTACAGTGAAAATCTCTCAAAAAAAAAAAAAAAAAAAAAAAAAAAAAGCCTCTCCTACCCACAAAAAGCTATGCATGAATTTTAATTTAGTTTTGCACCAAAATAAATTCGTACTTTTAATTTCATTTTTCATGAACTTTTTGAAGTCTTTTTTGTTGTTTTATTTGTTAAAACTCATTGAACTGTATACTTAAAATGCATAAACTTTCTTTTTCTTTTTTTTTTTTTTTTGGGAGAGGTTTTTGCCGTAGGGAGTGTTCGTTCTCCAGAAAGAGAGCGAGAGAGAGATAGAAAGCGAGAAATCACCCCCCAGCGGGGATAGCCATGCTGCAATCCCTTTTCCTCCATTCTCTTCTTGGGGTCTTGGGCACGCACGCACATGTGCCTGGCGTGAGTTTAAGCCACCGGGTGCGGGACTCGAACTGCAGTCGACTACATGGGAATCCAGTGACATAGCCATTACACTAACTGCTGGTCCCCATAAACTTTCGTGTATCTAAATTATACCTCAATAAAGTTGCTTTTAAGAGGTCTGTCTGGGGTCAGCAGGTGGTGTGGTGGTTAGGGATGCTGGACTCCCACATGGCTGACTGCATATCAAGTCCCGGATCCGACGGCTTGCTTTCTCACTTTCTCTCATTCCGTCCCTGTATGGTCAAATGAAAATAAGTAAATAAAGTTAAATAAAATAATTCTTTTTTTTTTTTTAAAGAAAGAAGTCTGTCTAACCTTATCAGAATCATGGTAAAAAAAAAGCCCCTGTTTTTGTAGAATAAAACCAAAATTGACAAGAATAACTTTGAATATCCTGCTCTCAGTTTTACAAATGTTAGTTATGAGAATTAGAGGTATTTTTTTTTTTTTTTAGGATTATTTCATTTAACTTTATTTACTTATTTATTTTAATTTGACCAGAGAGGGAGAGAGAGGGAGAGAGAAAGTGAGAAAGTAAGCCACCAGGTCTGGGACTTGAACTGTGGTCATGCATGTGGGAGTCCAGCACCCTTAACCACATGCCACCTACCCCCACCCCTAAAGGCATCTTTTTTTTTTTTTTTAAAAAGAATTATTTCCTTCCTTCCTTCCTTTCTTTCTTTGTTCTTTAATTCATTTATTTTAATTTGACCAGAGAGGGACACACACACACACACAGAGAGAGAGAGAGAGGGAGAGAGAAAGTGAGAAAGTAAGCCACCAGGTCTGGGACTTGAACTGCAGTTGGCCATATGGGAGTCTAGTGCCCTTAATGACATGCCACCTGCCGGCCCCCCTAGAGGTATCTTCTTAAATTTTTTTTCTCCGTACCCAGCTTTTAGGGCTATTAGGAAAAATTCTGTCAAAGTCTTTTTATCTTTTGTTCATAAAGTTCGGCTTTATTTTAGAATCCCAAGAAGGAAGTACTTTAAAATATTATAGGGGTGGAAAATGTTCCTTATTCAGAGGTCGATAATGTCATGTTGTCAAGGACTAGCTAGCATCACAAATTACATTTTTCTGTACTGTCCATACATACAATGGATCTGGTTGAAAAAACTAGTATATACATATGAAAATTATGCATCTGTGTGCTGTAGTCTAACATATAGATGGGTAACTGAACTTGCTCCCATTTCGAGGATCCTGCAATAGCATGGAAGGACCCAGAGACAAACACACAAAGTAGTAGTTACAATGAAATGTTTCAGTCACCATCATGGCAGCTACCATCATGGCGCCTACCATCATGGCGCCATGAGCCATGTTTTGTGCTCATCTAGTCAGGCCTAAGAGGAACTCTGGAAACTTCCTTCCCTACTCCCTCAGACAGAGAAGGAGAAGATGCTTAGAATTCATATGAAATCACTTTAATTACATTCTAGTCATGTATGTAAACATGTTACAAACTTAACTTTGGTCCTACTGGTTTTGTTTTGACTTCCTTTGGCATGAAGATGGGCCTTATTCCTGCCCTCTTTCATTTCTTGACTGGCTTCCCTGTTAACATAGTTAGGAGATTATGAAAATAGTAGATAGCCAATAAATATTAGATAGTTGATGGTATAATTATTTGTACATTTTTGGTACATTCTTAGACTTAAATGTAATTAAAATTTTTAAATTTAATTTAAAAAATATGTAAAGTATTGCATGGTTCAGAAGTTAAGACCTTATAAAAGGGTGTAATAGAGAAGGCTCACTTTCATCTCTAGGCATCTCTACTCGGTTTGTATTTTACCCTTTCAGGTAACTGTTTTCATTAGTTTCTGATTAAACTTTCCATTGTTTCTTTTCATCTTTTCTTATGAGAGAGAGAGCATGAGAGAGACAGACAGGTAACCCTAACAGGGACCTCACACCACATGTCACCCCCATTCTCAGCCAGCTGGGGTCATGGGCATGGGCTTATGCTTGGAGTGTACAAGAAGGTCTCAGTATGTGAACCTGGGACCTTCCCATGTGTGTCTGCCATTGCAGAGTGTTGTATTAACTGTTGTACCATTGTCTGTCCCTTCATTTTTTTCTTTTGGGAAAAAAAAGCAAAAGTATGTGCATATACTCATTCTCTGTTTCACAAAAAGTGGTATATTATATACACTATCTCCTGCACAAAAGATACCATACTATATATATTATCCTCTACTTTGTTTTGACATTTTAATACTTTCATGCAGTTGTGTACTTTTACTGAGTGGATGTACCATAGTTTTTTCAATCCGCTCCCTATGGTGGACATATGGATTGTTTTGATTTTTTTGCTCTTAACAGTGTTGCAGTGAATAACCTTGTACATGTGTTATTTCATAGTTATGGAAGCTCACTTTATTTATTTATTTGTTTATTTATTTAAAGAGGTTTTTGTCTTAGGGTACATGTGCTCACCAGAGAGATAGAGAGATCGAAAGTGACAAATCACCCCACATGGGTGATAACCACACTTCAATCCCTTCTCCTCCTGGAATCTTGGGCATGCATGCACATGCACATGGCATGAGTATACACAGTTCACAATAGGGTTCGCACTCCTTTGAGAATCTAATGCTGCTGCTGATCTGCCAGGAGGTAGAGCTTAGATGGTAATGTGAGCAATGGGGAGAGGCTGTAAATACAGATGAAGCTTCACTCTCTTGCCTTCTGCTCACCTCTGTGTGGCCCAGTTTCTAACAGGCCATAGACTGGGTCTCTGGCTCAAGGATTGGGAACTCCTGGCCTAGCTAATTAGAAGGCCAGTGTAGGACGATTGCAACACTGCAAGGCTGTCAAAAATAGCTGTTTCTGGGGACCAGCAGTTAGCATAATGGCTATGTCGCTGGACTCCCACGTAGTTGACCGCGGTTTGAGTCCCGGACCCTGTGGCTTAAACTCACGCCAGGCACGTGTGCGTGCGTGCCCAAGATCCTGAGAGGAGAATGGAGGAGAAGGGATTGTGGTGTGGCCATCCCCCCCGGGGGGGGAGTGATTTCTCGCTTTCTGTCTCTCTGTCTCTCTCTGTCTGTCTGGCAAGTGCACGTGCCCTATAGCAAAAACCTCTCAAAAAAAAAAAATAGCTGTTTCTGGGCCAGCCACAGTGGCGTAGTGGTAATGCAACACTTCCCAATACTACATTGGAATGTGCTTGGTTTATATACTGTGGTCTCCTCATGCATGCTGGGCATGTGTGTGTATGCCTTCGTTCTTGATTGGCTGAGGCTGGGGATAGGTGTGGTGTGAAAACTCTGTTGGGGTTTCTTGTCTCTTTCTGTTTGTCTTCCTCTCTCATGGAAGAAATGAAAACCCAGGAACACTCACCTTTGTTTCTGTCCTCTCTCTCTCTCTCTCATAAAGAAAAATAAAATGTGTGTGATATACATGGACACCTAGTCTATAGTCATTGTAGTTATGCTTTGTTTCATGAACTTTTTTTTCATTAAAATTTTTAAAAATTTATTATTATTATTTTTGATTTGCTATAGGGCACATGAGATCATCAGAGAGAGAGAGAAAGAGAGGGAAAGTGAGGAAGCAAACCACCAGGTCCAGCACTTGAACTGAACTGTGGTTGGCTATGTGGGAATCCAGCACCCTAATAGCCACGCCACCTGCTGACCCCAATTTTTTCATTTTTTGAGTCACAGAATACCTTTTTGCTTGTTTTGTGTTTGTTGAAACAAGATATTCTTTTTATTTTACCTTTTTAAAGTTTTTTAAAAATAATTTATTTATTTATTATTATCATTATTATTTTTTAATTTTACCAGAAAGAGAAAAAGATGGAGAGAGAGGGAAAATGATAAAGCAAGCCACCAGGTTTGGGACTCAAACCATGGTTGGCCTTGTGGGAACCACCATGCCACCTGCTGGCTCCATTTTTTTTTAAAGGTTGTTGCCTTAGGGCATGTGTACTTGCTGGAGAGAGAGAGAGAGAGAGAGAAGAGGAGAGGAGAGGAGAGGAGAGGAGAGGAGAGGAGGGGAGGGGAGGGCAGGGGAGAGGAGAGAGAGGGGGCAGTGAGAGGGAAAGTGAGAAATCACCTCCCATGGGGGGGGATGGCCACGCTGCAATACCTTCTCCTGCATTCTCCTCCCGCCATCTTGGGCATGTGCGCACATGTACCTGGCATGATTTTCAAGCAACTGTGATTGGGAGTTCAGCCACATTACTGCTATTCCATCTCCTGGCTCCAACTTTCTTTTCAACTTTTGTTTTTGGAGAGATTTTTTCTATAGGATGTGTGCATTCGCTGGAGAGACACAAAGAGACAGAAAGTGGACCGCCGCCCCCCCCCCCCCGGGGGGTGAATGTGCGCGCCCCCCCAGAGGATGACTATGCTGCAGTCTCTTCTCTGTTTTCCTCTTGGGATTTTAGGCATGCATGCACACATATTCGACTTGAGTTTCAAGTCATTGTATCCAGGACTCGAACCATTATTGGTCATGTGGAAGTGCCTTAACCACTGTGCTACCCGCTGGCCCTACAAGATATTCTTTGTAACAGGTAGAATTAAAGTTTCATTGAGATGGTCTGTGGATTAGTTTGTTGACCTTGATATAATGACTTCGGTATGGGGTACCTTAGCTGAACAAGTGAGTTGTCAGTAATCCAATAAGACTTGTTCTCTGCTTCCGGTGCTTGCTGGGATTTTCTTGACCCCAGTTAGGTATTTTCCCTCTCTCGTGGCTGTGGGAGTAATAGTTCTGCTCCTTGACATTCAAGGAAGGTGTTGCAGTAGGTCATGTTACTTCTTGTTCATGAGAATGGGAAGATTCTAACTATCTTACCATGTTCCATGGCAAACACAGACAGTATGGATGCTGGATAATGATGAACATAGTTAACATTAGAATCCCTAATGAAAGGGCTGAAAGAATTGAGAAGAATGAAAAACAGTGAGGAAGGGAGTGGGGAATAGAGCCTCCGGGTAGAATATGTGGAGAGGCAGTACAATAACATAAGGGTTTAAAATAGGGACTGACTGACTGGTTGGCTTTCAGTCCTAGCTCTACCACATAATAACTGTAAGCCTATGGAGATTATCCCTGTTCTAGGCATCACTTTTATTTACTTACTTTTTAAAAAATAATTATTTATTCAACCTTATTTGTTACTATTATTTTTTAATTTGACCAGAGAGAGAGAGAGAGAGAGAGAGAAAGAGAAGGAAAGTGAGAAAGCAAGCCATCAGGTCTAGGACTCAGACCATGGTTGGCCGTGTGGGAGTTCATCGCCTTAACTACCATGCCACCTGCTGGGCCCTTGGCATCATTATTATCTTGTGATAATCATCATATTTACTTACTTTTTAAAAAATAATTATTTATTCAACCTTATTTGTTACTATTATTTTTTAATTTGACCAGAGAGAGAGAGAGAGAGAGAGAGAGAAAGAGAAGGAAAGTGAGAAAGCAAGCCATCAGGTCTAGGACTCAGACCATGGTTGGCCGTGTGGGAGTTCATCGCCTTAACTACCATGCCACCTGCTGGGCCCTTGGCATCATTATTATCTTGTGATAATCATCATCATACCTACCTCATAGAGTTGTTATGAGTATTCAACAAGGTAAAGCTTAAAGTACTTGATCTTAGTAAACAGTAAAATAAATGCTAGTTATTTTCAATATGAAAGGAGACAGAAAATGGCATGGCATCTAGATTCTTTGTACTTGGCATTTTTCATGGTATTAATGTGTCTCTTCAGTCCTAAAATACACTTCTTTAATGTTGACATATTTTGAAATAAAATTCTTATTTAAGCCAGTGAGTATATTTCATGTGGTAGACTGTTTTTTTCCTCAGCAATTGTTGCTCAATACTATGTCTTCAAATGGAGAAAATAAGGTATTGTACATGGTTCAGTATGACTTACATCATATCTATTAGTATAACTATTTGTTTTTGGATAATTATATATTTGACTGTAAGACAAAGAATGTTTTTGGCTGGCTCCAAGGCTTAGTGGCTAAGGGAGCTGGATCCTACATGGCCAGTTGTGGTTCAGGTTGTGGTCCTGGCAGCTTAAAAGCCACTTCAGGTGGCATTTACCCTAAATCCTGACTGGATGGAGAATTGAAGAGAAGGGACTGTGATGTGACCACCATCCCTTTGGGGGATGTTCTCTCACTTTCCCTGTCTTTCTGTCTCTCTCTAGTGGACCTCTGCACCCTCTGGCAATAAAATAAAAATAAACGTATAAGGTAGAGAACATTTTGATTGATGATGTAGAGATTTGCACAATAGATAGAAGGCATATCTTTTTTTTTTTTTTTAAGAGAGAGATTTTTGCTATAGGGTGTGTGTGCTCACCTGAGAGAGAGAGAGAGACAGAGAGACAGAAAGTAAGAAATCACCCCCCAGCAAGGATGGCCACACTGCAATCACTTCTCCATTCTCCTCTTAGGATTTTGGGTACACACACACACACCTGGTGTGAGTTTTAAGCCTCCTGGTCCAGCACTCAAATGCAGCCGACTACATGGGAGTCCAACGACATAACCATTATGCCATCTGCTGGTCCCTAAGGCATATATATATATAAACTTATTATTTTGCAACTCTTATTTATTTACTTATTTATTTATTTTGAGAGGTTTTTGCTATAGAGCATATGCGCTCGCCAGAAAGACAGAGAGAGATAGAGAGACAGAAAGGGAGAAATCCCCCCCGGGGGGATGGCTATGCTGCAGTCCCTTTTCCTCCATTCTCCTCTCGGGATCTTGGGCACACATGCACACGTGCCCGGCATGAATTTAAGTCACCAGGTCTGGGACTTGAACCATGATCGACTACTTGGGAGTCCAACGACATAGCCATTATGACATCTGCTGGTCCCCCGAAGGCATATCTTAATGTCATTTGCAGTACTTTAAGGTGGTACACGTAGCCTCTTTTCCATTTCAGGTACATACCATGAATTACACAATTCTGAAAGATTTCAGGATCAACACCTGGAATTTTCCTTATTGAAGTGTTTTTTTTTTTTTTTAACCTTCATGTTTTATTTATGTTTATTGTTTATATGTATCTGGTATCTTTGACATTTAATCTCTGAATATATTATTGCCTTGTTAACTTTCTTGGGAAGGGCTTTGTTTTTTTTTTTTTTGGTAGTAACTAGACTTTTCCCTTCAATTTTTTAAGGTTATTTGGCTGTTTCCTTATTTCTACATGAAAGTCACGAGCTGTTGCTTCTCCTTGTGAATACAGTTGTCAAGGTACTATATTGTATGTTGGTGAATGTGAAATCTTAAATTATTCCCTCAGGCAGCTGAATTTCCCTTCGATCATATTGAATTAGAGAATTTTTGGAAGAAGGTGGGCTTAAGGAAATGGGCTTGGGAAAATCTTTTTGATCAGTTTCTGCATCTGTAGAATGGGGATGAATAATAGAACTTAGGAGTTGTGAAGGTTAAAATAAAACACTGTGTGAAATAGTAGCTATTGCTGTGGTTGCTGGTGTTTTTCATTTTGAAATGCGCAGTCAGAATTAAAGTCTCTTCTCCAAGGTCTTAGTCATGTGCATTTGTTTATGCTGCTGTCTTTTCCTCCAGGATTTCTTCTAAAGGGATATGGATAGACACTGAAGGGCTTATAAGTGAATAACTGAAGTTTTTAGAATCTAATGAGTCATTTTAAGGGTAATAAAATAAAATTGGATAACTGGAATATACAAATAAGAAAAACAATGTACTCACAGTATTTTTCCTTTATCAAAATTGGTAATTGAGCTTTTTTCTGTTTATCTTCTATCAGTTTTTTGATATCTGAGTCTGTGTGCAGTATGTATATATAGTATTTTCTAAATTTTAAATCATATATTAAGGTTACTAGTAGCTTAGTTTGTTTTCTAAACTTTCTAAAAATGTTTTTTTTTTTTTTTTGAGAGGTTTTCCCTATAGGGCGTGTGCGCTCGCCAGACAGAGGCAGACAGAAAGTGAGAAATCACACCCCAGGAGGGATGGCCATGCCACAATCCCTTCTCCTCTATCCTCCTCTCGGAATCTTGGGCACCTACGCACACATGCCCGGCATGAGTTTAAGCTGCCGGGTTTGGGACTCGAATCGTGGTCGACTACGTGGGAGTCCAGCGACATAGCCATTATGCTATCTGCAGGTCCCCCAAAATGTATTTTCATGTTCTATTAGAATGAGTTATAAACCATATGTGTATATAAATTTATGTAAAATATACACATTTTATTGTATATTTTGACTCACATTATTATTGACTGACAAGAAAAATTCATAAATTGGTTTGTTATTGATTTAGAAACATATTAAAGGCCATAATAAAGTAGACTACTTTGATGAATATCAGTTTTCTTTTGTATCAGTTACTTTTTAATTAATTTATTGTTTATTTATAATATTATTTATATTTTAATAATATTACTTATTTATATATTGACACAATTAAGGCAACTGAAACAAATAGTGATATACCTATAAAATATGACTTACATCTGAATGTACAAACTAATTATGAAGTTAGTTGAAAATGACTAAGTATATAGGACCATTATGGTGTTGAGTTTACCATACCCAGTTTCAAATTTTACATCGAATGTTTTCTTTGCTTAATAATATTTCCAGGACTTGCAGAGCACTAACCTGGTAGAAGTATGTATGGCACTTACTATTGTCAGCCAGATTTTCCCTCGAGAAATGATTCCAGCTGTTCTTCCATTAATAGAAGATAAACTTCAACATTCTAAGTAAGTAAATTCTTTTGGGATTGATATCTACACTATGTGTGTGTGTGTGTGCTTTAGAGAAATTTTTGCTATAAAGGCATGTGTGCTTGCTGGAGAGACAGAGAGAGACAGAGAGACAGAAAGCAAGAAATTATCACCCCCCGGGGGATGGCCATGCCACATCCCTTCTCCATTCTCCTCTCAGGATTTTGGGCACAGATGCACATGTGCCCTGTGTAAGTTTCAAGCTGCTGGATCTGGGACTCAAACTGCAGTTGGTCAGGTGGAAGTCCAGTGACATAACCATTATGCCATCCGCTGGTCCCTATACTGAATATTTCAGAACAAAAATGTATACTAGGAAATTTATTTTAACTTTAACTGACTTCTATCAGGACAGAATATTCACTGACTGCCAGATATAATGCAAAAATCCCTAGTAGGATCATCCTTATTTTTTGTGGGTTTAGAAAATGTTAGTTTTCCGAAGTTAAACTGAAAGACAGTGAAGCTTAGTATCAGGAATCATTGACTTTTTTCTGCAGCCTTACCACCAGTGAGCAGTGGTCCTGTATTTCCCTTGGCTATATAGAGTTGGCTAAAGCTCTTCAGTTCTCATAAAGTTGTTTTGAGGATAAAGCAAAATAATAGAAGACATGAAAATGGTTCAAGTGCTCTGAGTATACAGCTTTGGTATATTGGGATCATAGCTTTTATGTCAAAACCACACTGTTAAAATTCTGTTTTACAATAGAATGGATCCAAATAAACATTAATTTGTAATATTTTGCTAGTCTCCTCTTATGAGATTTTTAAAAAATTTTCCTATCAGCTTGATTAACTTTTCTACACTTGGAATTTTTTTAAAAATTTTTTGTTTTGTTTTGTTTTGTTTTTGGAGAGGTTTTCGCTCTAGGGTGCGTGCGCTTGCCAGACAGAGAGAGAGAGACATAGAGACAGAAAGCGAGAAATCCCCCCCCCCCCGGGGGCATGGTCACGCCGCAATCCTTTCTCCTCCATTCTCCTCTCAGGATCTTGGGCACGCACACACATGTGCCCGGCATGAGTTTTAAGCCACAGGGTCTGGGACGTGAACCGCGGTTGACTACGTGGGAGTCCAGCGACATAGCCATTACGCTAACTGCAGGTTCCTGGAATTATTTTGTTTTTTGACCTTCATAATCTTTCAATTTAGGAAAAAAGTTATAATTATTTTTTTTCTTTGTTATTCTAAAATTTTAGTTAAAAATCTTTTTTCTTTTTTTGGAGAGTTTTTTTTTTTTTTTTTGCTATAGGGCATGTATGCTTGTCAGACAGAGACTGAGAGATAGAAAGCGAGAAATCACCCCCGATGGGGGATAGCCATGCCGCTATCCCTTCTTCTCCATTCTCCTCTTGAAATCTTAGGCACGTATGCACACGTGCCCGGCGTGAGTTTAAGCCACCGGGTCTGGGACTCGAACCGCAGTCGACTACATGGGAGTTCAGCGACATAGCCATTACGCTAACTGCTGGTCCCATAAAATCTTCATCATGAATGTATATATATTACAGAGAATCTTTATCAAGAATATTTGTATATTGGGACCAGCACATGGTGTAGCAGTTACGTTGCTGGACTCCCACATGACTGACTATGGTTCGAGTTCTGGACCCAGTGGCTTAAAACACACGCCAGGTGCATGTGCGTGCCTTCCCAAGATCCTGGGAGGAGAACAGAGGAGAAGGGATTGTGGCATGGCCATCCCACTGAGGGTTGATTTCTCACTTTCCCTCTCGCTGTCTTTCTTTGTCTCCAGCTAACGCATATGCCTTAAGGCAAAAACCTCTAAAAAAAAAATAGAATATATGTTTATTACAGAGTTTTAAAAGTGTTTTGGCTATACATACATTCTTTTCTATTTTTAACTTTTTGTTTTTTAAGAATTTTATTTTTTTGGAGAGGTTTTTGGTATAGGACGTGTGCGCTTGCCAGAAAGACAGAGAGAGAGACAAAGGGACAGAAAGCGAGAAGGCCCCCCCCCCCCCCCAGAGGGGATGGCCATGCTGCAATCCCTTCTCCTCCATTTTCCTCTTGGGATCTTGGGCACACACACACACACACATGCCCAGTGTGAGTTTAAGCCACTGTGTCTGGGACTTGAACTGTGGTGGACTACATGGGAGTCCAGCGACATAGCCATTATGCCAATTGCTGGTCCCAAGAATTTTATTTTTATACATTTAAAAATTATTTTATTAATTAATTATTATTATTATTATTTTCACATGAGTTTTGCCAGAGAAAGACAGAGAGAGAGAGAGAGAGAGCGAGCGAGCCACCAGGTCCAGGACTTGAATCATGGTCGGCCATGTGAGAATTCCAGTACCTTAACCACCAAGCCACCTACTGTCCCAAGAGGGAAGGAAAGTGAGAAATCAAGCTTCTAGGTCTGGTACATACTCTCATTGGAGAGAGACAGAGAAAGAGAGAGGGAAAGTGAGAATTCAGCCCTCCCCCCCGGGGGGGGATGGCTATTCCACAATCCCTTCTTCATTCTCTTTGTGGGATTTTGGGGTGTGCCCAGTCACCGGGTCCAGGACTCAAATTGTGATTGATTATGTGGGAATCCAGTGCCTTAAACACCATGCCACCTGCTAGTCTCTATTTATTTATTTTTTTAATTTGTCAGAGAGTATGTGGGCTCACCAGAGAGAAGGAGGTGAGAGAGAGAAAGCAGGAAAGTATCTTCCATGGGGTATGATCACACTACAGCCCCTGCTCCTCCGTCTCCCTCCTTTCAGGATTTTGGGTACATATACTCACATGCCTGGTATGCTTTTCAAGCCTCTAGGTCCAGGTCTTGAACCACACTGTCAGCCATATGGGATCTAACTGCTTTAACTCTAAGGCTATGGGCTGGCCCCATGTGCTTCTTTAAGTCAATATTTTTAATGTTCTAAGATTATAAAATAATTATCTTGTAGTAACTCTATTTTTTAAGAAATTGTGGGGCCAGCTTGTGGTGATTCAGATTGTCATATTCAGATTTCACTTCTTATCTTTAGGGAGATTATACGAAGGAAAGCTGTTCTCGCCTTATACAAGTTCCACCTCATTGCTCCTAATCAAGTACAACATATCCATGTTAAGTTCAGGAAAGCACTTTGTGACAGAGACGTTGGGGTTATGGCTGCTTCCTTGCACATTTACCTTAGGATGATTAAGGTAAGTTGGCAATTACAGCAAGTACTGAGTAATTAACATTAGAAAAATAGAATAAATGAAAACATTCAGATATCTCAATAACATGCTTAGTTAATATTTTATGCTCTTACTACTGACTTTTTTTTTTTTTTTTTT